ACTGTCACATCCCTCAGTCTCCAATGAGGCACCACAGTCCTGAGCCACTTCACCTATGTGGAGTTACACATCTGGGCAATGCAAATATTCAGAACAACATTTAGGAGAAGCCAGGTAGGTAAAAGAACATCAATGTCACAAAACTCATCCACTCCCATATTTTGTTCTTTGCCTCAATGATTCTTCTTTCTCATGTATGCTAGCAATAGGAGTTGGTAAAAGGTAGCTGAGAATATGCAAAGTCACCATCTGGGATGGGGGAAGCACCTTTCTCCTAGACGTCAGCTGAGTGTTAGAAGAAAGGGCAGGGGATAACAGAAATGGAGGTACATACCCATATATTGCTTCATCTTCAGGACTGGGACGAAGAAAAGTTCTTGGGGCTGCTCTGGGCTGAGGAACTATGGATTTAAAAAAAAGTTGAATGTGGACCAGAGTATACCTTGGTGTGTATTTGCCTAGCATGCAGAAGGCCCTGAGTTCAATACCCTTCCACAAAGAAAAATCAAAACAAAACAAGATGAAAACCTTCTTCCTTATCATTGTGAGTAGCACCAGCTTGGTTCTGAATATAAAGATAGCAAAATCCAAAGGCTTTAAGCATGCATTTATTGTATACTACATGTATGTCATCACATCAAACAGCACATGTGTTGACTTGCTGACTAGCCCATGCCAATTCTCAGAAGCACTTTCCCTTTCTTAATAAACAAACAGACAACAACAAAAAAGGAAGTCTTTAAAATGAAGTTTAACTTTAAGCATTATCAGTTACCACGGTTTCTCAAAATAAAAGAACCTCCAAAACGCAAGGTATGCTCGCACAAGACACTGTTCTTTATAACCAGGAAATCATATAATAATACCATGTTTCTCCATCTATAGACACTCATGCTCATAAAATTATGATGATCATTACAGGGTAGTGGGAACAGAGTTAAAATAAAAAGGCTGGAATCATGGACATGGGGCAAGAGGGCTGTAACTCATCAAACATATTAAAACCTGACCAATTCTGATGATGTGGAAAAAGGATTGTTTTGTTTTTTATTTTTCTCCTCCCATATTAAAAGAGAGAAAAATAAGGAGGGCCTCTTCCAC